TTTAGAGATGCTGATTTGATCTTGTTATTACAAAATACATAACCTACTCGTTTATGGCTTTCTTTTCTTCCTTAATTACTTGTGAGTAATAGAGAGCATAGTAGCCAAGTTTGTTTCTTCTCTGCCTCTAGAGAAGGCATCTCTTTACACGCTGCAGAATAGTCCCCTTTTAAGTATGACTCAGTTCCATGTTGGTCAGTTACCTGATGCCGTACAGAAATTCTGGCATGCAACGCTGTTTCTATTGCTAGTAAGGTACACCTTCATGTGGATGGGCTGCAAGTGAAGGCCACTTTGGGTAAAAAATAATACTATTTCTATTCTTGAGTACATCAATACTGACTTAAGGATACAATGAAGTTTATGTCTCTTGCTTTGTTTTCATCCCGTTGTTCTGAGCAGCTAGATTGTTCTTACATTCTTAATCCTCTTGCCAAGATATCCCATCATGACCTTGGCTCAGGGACTCAGAATGGGAATTTCCAAAGTCTTCTGAAAGCCCCTTTTGGTGCCTGCTAGGGGGAAGACATGAATGATTTAACTGCAGTTGTGGGAAGTACTCTGAAATTTACTGTAACTTCGAAATTGCAGGCATACCCTTATTTCCATCCAGCCCCTTGCCAAATTCTGCTACTCAGAAAGAACTGATGCAGTAGATTCACAGTGAATTAAAATAATTTTGCTTTCACTTTTATCATTTAAGGTGGCTCTCACTTCTTTTCCTTCCTCCTGTTTGCATTCATTCCTGTAGTGGATGTTTCATTTTTCCTGTCTTTCCTATACTGCAAAAGGTTGGCAGCTCAGCCACCTTACGTGAGTATGGAGTTACTGATAATTACAGCTAGGCTAATCTTAGATGACTTTATTATAATATTGTTCCTATATATATGTTCCGTATTCTTCCTATGAGAAATGCAACAAAATATTAATAGTTCCATCCTGTTGTGTTGCTCACATTAAACTAGGGAAGAACGGCAGGCAGGCAAAGAGATTCACAAGGATGACAGGACACTTAGTTTGGGTTTAGTGGACAGTAGAACCACAATATCTGTGAGGCAGCTGTCTAGACAAATGAGTTAACTCACAAATTGTACATGTAATTTACATACTTAGAAGGGTAGTGATGTGATTATCTAGTGCTATGTGTCATTGGAGAGGTAATTTGAAGCATGTCTCTGTCCTAGTCAGTTTACTTGGGGGCCATAACCTACCGGGCAGTAATTTTCTGTGTAAATGCAGGTGTCCTTTACCTTGCTGTACAAAATAGATGATACTTCTGGAAACATTCACTGATCCTCTGGTGTGGTAGGAAGTTAATATTGTTGGTCCAGTGTAGCTACTTGAATCCCTATGATCTGCTGCACCTGCATGTCTAGTATTCCTGCTTAGAGGCAGAAGTACTGAAAAAAACGGATCAGTTCTCCGGTACCTGGAAATATAGCTGGAAAATCATGCAGGCAATGGTAACTCAGTGACATTTTCTGTTAAGGCATGTAACAATACCACTGCTTTTCAGGTGCTGCACTAGACTTATGAACATGAATGCCTGTTGAAATCTCTGTTGGGCCTGTTCAGAAAGCTGCAGCAGGAAAAACAAAGAACGAGCAGACTTGCTTTCAGGAGATTAAATAACATACACTGTACTGCCTTCTACAGTGGCTACCCTCCTTGGCTTCTGTTGAACTTTAGATCTCGACCCTTGGTTGAAGCAGTTGAAACATTGCTTTCACTGTGGAGAATGCCTGTTGATATATATAGCAAATACACTGCCCTCCTTTGTAAGCGTTACCACTGTACTGGCTCAAATGTTCATTATCTCTCTGAGCTTTTGCCGTGTGAACCTAGAATAGATCCTAAAGTATGTTTCTAACTGTCATTTTCCTCAGCCATATGAACAAGATGAATAATCTGAAACTGTTGCTGAGGCCCCAGCTACTTCACTGCAAGCAAAAATTCCCCTTTTTTTTATATTTTCCCCAAAACAGTGAACCTCTCAACAAGAGAGGTACCTGCAGTTCAGAATTTGCCTTTTTCCACTACCATTAATAATTCTGGCTTTCACAAAGTTCTCATTTCCAAATGAACCAGAATCATTGAACATTTCAATCAATCCTTTAGAAGGGGATTTGAATGGAGATGAAACCACTCATACCATCACTCAAGTCAAATGAAGAGTCACCTGTTGCTGCCTGGGCAAAACAGACCATCAGCTAAAGACCTGCAGTACTCTATTAGCCTGCCCTTTGCTTGCTCTTAAGGTTCTCATGGCTGCTGGGTTCTCAATGAAGGCATCTTGCCCATTAAAGTAGCATCTTCTTGGTTAAATGGACAAATGGACCACCACCTCTGGGCAGTGATTAATTATTACAGACTTATGCATCCACATAGGTAAATGCCTAAGAAGGGCCACTCAGGATGTAAAAGCTTACCTGGGGTATCAGAGGAGAATACCCCTTCAGTGTACTGAACAGTGATAATGCTATATTACTAGCTTAATTAAATCACTGTATCATCTCGGTGAAAAATTGAACTGACTTGAAAAATTGTGGTGAAACTGTCAGATGCTAGTTGTAAGGTCCAAATGTCTACCAGGGAAATTAAATTGATAATTCATACTGTGCCCTGTAATTGTAAAAGATGGTTGGACATTGTAAAAACGGAAATCTATTGATCATGCAGTGTACATGGACTGCTTAAAAGAAAATCTGGACTGCAGAAATTATTGGTTAAATTATCTTGTGTGTTTTAAGAGAGAGGTATTGTAACTAATAATCCTTGTATAAATATACTGATGCTGATCCAGAACTGACTTTAAACTGTGAGGACTTTCAAACATCTCCTGTAAAATTAACTGCACTTTACCTGATCAACAGGAGCTCAAATATTCAGAGCCACTGGAGGCAACAGTCTATTGATGAGCAACCAATATTTATTTTCAGGATCTAGTAAAGCAACAAGAAGGCAGTGGATATCAGACATCATCTGCACTAGTGCTACTTACATTATCCTGTTAAAATACAGACAGAAATATGGATACTGAATACCAAGAAAGGAAAAATAGATTTTAAATTTTTGCAAAGTCAGGAACACAGAATTATTTAGTCCAAAACTTCTGTGGAAGAGCATTATTATTCTCTTCTGGTGTCAAAAGGTAGAGCTAGTTTTCTTTCTGAACATAGAAATACTCTGCTATGAGGCATGTTAGTCCCAAACTGGGTTGGATTAATTGGAGAAAATACAGTTTTAATCTTTTTCTTCACATTTACCAACACTCGTTGGAAAAGATTAGATGGTAAATGCCACACAAATGACTAGACCTTGCATAGAAGAAATACTTTCCTCAACATAGGGTTGTTTACTTCAAAAGTAGGCACCCTGAATTAGTTTTTACTGTTCTGCCTGCAGTATGAACAAGTCAGATCAGATTCATGCATGTCTTTGTCATATTGAATCTTTTCAGATATGCATTAATTCCCTCACTAAACAAAACAAACAAACAAACAAACAAACAAACAAAAAAAATCCAACCTGGCTTTAATTTAGTCCATCCTTTATACTGATTGTATACTTTCTCATAACTGTAGGATTCAGGAAGTAGTAAAGCTTTCAATTGGCAGTTTAGTTCTCAGGGAAAGGAAAACCCCAGGAGAAATACTGGAGAACTAGATTAGCAAATGGCCTTTTTTTTGTTCTAGAATATACACCTGAAACAGGTGGAGGTGAATTGAAAAGAGATATGCCCAGTGTCCAACTGAAAGTGGGTAATGGGATGGCAAGCTGAGTGGTCACAAACTTAGCAATATTCTTTCAGAAAGACAAATTCACAGTATTTAACATACCCGCCACTGGTAAAAGAGTCAATGAAAAGCAGACTAAAGTTAATCAGATAACTGATTTTCACAGTGGCCAAGATAAATAAAACTATCTGGCCAAAGGAGCTGTTTATTTCTCCCATCATGGATACTGCTGAACTGTGTCACAAGCTCCCTAAAAACTAGAAATAAGGAAAATCCCTTTACCTCTTATTAAAGATTACCTCTGATTAAAGACCATGGCTGTACCTTGGTGTTACCTTGCCTATGCATGTGGCATCAGGTAAGAGAAAAATCATTTTCAGTGCTTATGATTGTTTTAAGGAAAAATGTAAAATGTAGGACCAGTTTACTTCATCCAAACTATGTAATAAACACTTCTTTCATTGATGTTTTTCAGGGGCAAATAATTTTTTTTTTTCTTCTGTGATACCTCTGCCAGTGTTTAATCCTGATACCAACGTGCTTATGAATTTACCAATCAGTCTATAAGTCACTTGGAGGATGACATCCACTGTGCTCACATTTATGTTCTTTCTCTTGTAGTTTGCTGAGATTCAGCTCCTCAGAGTGCTGAAGATCGACTGTTGGGAGTGACCCAACAATAATGGAGCACCAGGCAGTGTATTTGTTGCCATAATGAGATTGAGACTTCCTTCCTTGGTAAGTGGACAGCTGAGTGACTCAGCCATTTATCAAACGGGGATGGAGAAATGGAGGTGCCTGGAGGAAAGACTTACCTATTATGAATAGCAGTTGGTATGACATGGATATGAATCATGAAGAAAGCTGTTACTTTAGAAGGAGCTGAAAGAAGACTATGCAACATCTCAGAACTACCAAGGGACAGGTGACTGCACCGAGTCTTAGAAATACAGCTATCACGATTTCCAATAACTTGTCAAAGTGATTCCTGCCTTCAAAGTTCTTACCCCCAAAGGAGACCAAAATTACAAACTCCACGACACATGAAAGATTTCTACCACATAGAATTTTTAATTTTTTTTTTGAAGTGTGTAAGAGACTTGGTCACAGCCTTCAGTCAGAGAATGAAATTTATGCTACTTTTCTTTGATTGAAGTTTAAACTGAAATCTTTGGTAACTGCTAAAGGAACTGTACTAATTACCGTAATAATTAAGGTAGTGTCTACTGGAGAGGTAACAAATGAAGTAACAAAGCATGTTCTGTCATTGGATGGTGGAACTAAACACCAGCATTACATTCTGTTGAGAAGACTGGGGTAAATTTTTAATACCCTTAAGCTACCATTGTACAAAAGGGGAAAAAAAAGCAGGGAAGACTCTTTAAATAAATGTTCTAACTTTTTACTTTGAATTCTTAGGTAAAACAAGTAATTGGGTTTACCTGAAACCCATAGTAGAAATAAATTAACAGATAACCAGTAGACCTTTAAGATAAATAGGCCTCAGCTTGTGTTTTGTGTTTAGTTCATTGAAGAAATGTAATGAGGGAAAAAAAAAAAAAAAAAAGGAAAACTATCAGACATGTCTAACAACAGAGGTGAGAGATGAGCTAGGGTCTTCTGGGAGCACAGATGGTAAAGGGATAGATTTCAGATAACAAAAATAGCTATAGCCAAATGCTTTGAAGGATATGATGATTTGGTATGAACAATAATAAAAGAGCTTTCCTCTGAAACTCCATTCAGTTAGCTCTGAACTGATGTTCATGAGGGGTTCCCACTGCAGATACACTGAGATCTTCTCAGAGAATTTTGTTGAAAGGCCGGTAAGTTAGGCAGGCTTTCTTTTCCGCTGGACATAAAAACACTTTAAGTCAAAAAAGAAGCTTTAAGCCCTTTTAAATTCCTTTATTTGTATTTCATAAGCAGAATGATTTTCATGTATTCAGTTATGAATACATTGAGAATTACAGGGATTTTATTATTCTTTCTCTATGTGTTATGCTACATAAGTGAGAGTGTAAGTGATGTTCTTTCCAGTTTATTGTTGGCAATAATCTAATTTCTCTGAGGATGTTCATGGAAGGATCTTGGTTCCCAGCTTGTGTCTTTTGGTCAGTGTTTACATTCCCTCTGTATAACCTTTACAAAACTTTGTATAAATTCTGTGAAATTTTTTTCTTCATACTCTTCACATTCTTTGCATTTTGCTGATGTTGTGGAATTCAACTGAAAAAGAAAATGCAATCTTAAAGCATGATACTGATCTATTTGTTCTGATAGAAAACTCTAACCCTTATTTGTCCTGTTTTTGTGAGTAACTCCAATGCAGTCAATGGCTACAGAAACCATTGCTGGAGGATTCCACAGTACTTATGGCCTGTGCAGCCCTTGCCTTACTTTCTGAGTAGGATCAGTTTTCGAAGATACAGCACTTCAGAGAGAGATGCAAGTGGCTGCCCCTTTGAAAATTGGGATACTTTTCTGTATGTGTCTGAGCATACCTGACTTCAGACACTAAAGTTACAAACTGCTATTTACACAAGCACATTCAAACACCCTGGCATATGTATGCATGAGCCGTCAAAAGTATTTGCTTTGATGGGAATCCTAAAAGCATTTATCTAACACCCACTAAATTCTGCTTTTCCACTGTCGTATGTGTGACTTTTTCATTGTTATATGGGCAGGTTACCGCATCTCATTTGCTGTCCCCTGTGCTAGCCCACCTTTTATATAACAAAAGAGATATTTTGCTACCGAAGCAACACTTCTGATTTGCCTTTTCTTCACAGACTGGTGGTGTTACCTACCTTGCTGTTTTCTAAGCTTGCATTTCCATTTTTCCATATGTTGAGTACATCCTGTGTTTTACTACAATTTTTGATACGACATTCGTGAAGAATCACATTCATCTCTAAGACAAAGCATCTCATTACAGGTTCTTGGCATTCTTCCTGAAAAAAAAGGAGAAGTTTTAATGATTTTGCAATTAAAAAGGAATAAGTGAATGTAAGATATAATATACCACAAAGTGACTGATTTTTATTTACTGGATATCTCTTCTTGCTATCCAAACACTTTTAAATATCTGCAAAGATTGGCTGTGAGAGCTAACAACATAAAGGCCAGCTAATTTGCTAAAATGGGGTGAAACATAAAGTCTTAGTGAAGAACACAGGAAAATAATTTACAAGGAGAGGAATTTGGGGTACAATTAAACATTGTGGAATTATATCAGTATTATTCTCAGTAGTTCTAGCACTTGCATTCGAATTATTTTCTCTGAATTCAGAATTGGTAGGGGAGAAGAGAAAGTAGATATTACCTGTATTTCACGGGTTAAAGAAAAAGAAGCAGAAGTACAAATTTCTCCCCATCAGGTCAACAATAAAGCCGAGAATAAGTCTGTGGTTGTCTGACTTCCATATCAGACTGTCCCACTTTAAGAAAATCTTCCTGACATTACCAGGTCATAAAATCAGCCGTTACAATGGATTAACCTCTCTAGCTGAGTTCAGTTGAGAACGTGTGTGTAGGTGTGGATGTGCATGTTTTGCAACCTTTCTTCCTCCCTGTCATGTACAAGGCTAACTGTACAGACACATCAGACTCTGTGCTTTCTCGGGTTTGCCAGATCCGCTGAATATTCATCAACATTGCTGTATTCTGCTTGCACACTAAGACTACTCAGCACTGAGGTAGTCAGTCCATCATTTCTAGGAAATCTTTCATTAACTCTTTACGTACAGGGTTCATGTATTTTCTGTGTTTGGCACAGTCCTAGTGAGAATGTTTATGTTGTCAGAAAAGCAATGTCCCAGAAGCAGGCTACTGCCACAGCAATGAATCCAGCCAGTTCCACCAGGGCTATATCAAATGTGACTGCTTTGGTGTCACCGTTGGATGGAGTGAGTGGAGTAGAGGCTGGATTCTTTTTCTTGGTGGGGTGCATGAGTCCTACAGAGCGCAGACTGAGTTCCATAGCAACAAATTATGAAAAAGTCTCCAGAAATCAATTTATGGAAACTGCATTTAAGAGGATCATATTTGACATAGGTCTCTGTGAGTGTATTAAGAATTATATTGACAGATAAACATAATTCATCCTTTTCAGGATAAATTATAATCTGCAACTATTATAAAACTGAATCCTTGAGAGTACCTAGGTATTTGCTGATAAGCTAAGGAGTGGCAAAAGCAGAGAAATGCCTAGATATATGCTGACAGTTACTCTCCATATTCCACTTATCCAGTATTTTATTCCATTAAATAGTGCATGGTGTTAAATAATTGTCTTTGGAAGTATTTTATTTGTCACTTTTTTCCTCCCTCAAATTACAGATGAATACCAACATTATTTTAGCCGTGTTTGCTTTGATAAAATCTTTGGGATCATCCCTTTTAATTGATTAATTTTAATAGCAGGTGATTCAATAAAAATACTTAATACCTGCTTACATAATTTATCCTATGTACTTTAACTAACAGAACTGTTCCTTCCGAGGCAAATGGTTTGACTGATGAAACTTTTCTCAAATTACACCAAGGCTGCCTTGGGAGAAAGTTGCTAGTACAGAAATGAAGCTACTGTATTAGAGCAGTTGTGGTCAAATTTTAAGTTTACTTACATCCTCATTTGTGTTTGCAGTATATAAACTGACATCAATATCCTACAAGAAAACCAGAGTTAGAATTATGAACATTAACTGACAGTTTTAGAGATAATAAAGCTAGCTCTGCAAGACATGGATTAGCTTTGAGTTCAGAGGCCCAATTCATCCAGGTACTGGGAGACAGCAAGTCAAGGAAATTAAAGTCACCTAGTAACCTGCAGGTTGGGCTTCACTGTGAGGACCACTCATCGGAATCAAGTTCCGCAATATTTTGTCCAAAGGAGCTAACTCCCAAGCCCACTGCCCCTTTCCTTAAGAAAAATGAGAAAGAAAATAATATTTAATTCTAGAGTCTGCAGAATTTGGTCAATTCCAATTCCCTTTAACCTTCTATTCCTTGGTTTCCATCCATGAAACAGCACTCTACAAACACTACCCCTTTTCATGCTCCCGGTCACTGACACTTCTTAGCTGAGTACAGGGCGAAATATTTAATTATGTCTGCTCCTATGATTATATGAAATGCTGACTTTTTAATGAACTTACTTTGGATGTCTTGATTTGCTCCAAATCTTTCAGAACTTCTGCCCACTTGCAGTGACCTGCTGCTGTCTTTGGTACAGAAGCACTAGGACAGAAGAAAAACAGTGACCATTAGGCTCAGTAGGTATGCACAATGTTTATGCTGAAAAAAAGAGTCAGAGATTATTAAAATACTATAAATACATAGTTTACATGTATATATATACATGTGGTAAATGTGTGGGGCAAGTAGAGTATCCTATAGATACATAAAAACTGTATCTGAGTCACACACTGTAGAAACAATGCGTTTTTTAAAAAGGCCAGTTTTATAGAATGTAAAATGTTCAACTACTTAATGTAAAATACCTACAATTATTTTAAAGTATACAAAAACAATCACAAACTTCCAAGTGTCTTAGACTGAAAACTCATCACCCTCCCCTGCTACTATAGAATTTCTGCCTTAAGCCCTGTAGATATATTATTTGTCATATTAGATGTAATTTTTTTTGTGTGTGTACAAGAAAGATTCCTCCTGCTACAGATAAGATTTTTCTTGAAGTGAACCATTAAAGGGTGGAAGGAATATTGCCTTCTCCTTGGAAGATTTTTGGAATGTGAATTGCATCTTAATGTGCCCCCACTTGGATCCTTAATTTGGATGCCTTTCTGTACTGCGGTACTATAAATAATGTACTACAAGGTAGGGAAAGACAGACCAATTTTGGGGGGAAGCTGGTTTAAAACAAGCAGTTGTTAAACATTTAATCATTAACCAAAGAGCCAAAAATTACAAGATTTTTGGTAAAGGAAAAAAAAATGGGTTTTATAACAGGAATCAGGGACACTTACCATGTTTTTGCCAGAAGGAGAGAGATAGAAGAAATGTCAGACCTTAGCAAAGATATTTGACTGAAGGAGCACAAGGAGAAAACAAGTGAAGTGGGGCATGTCGGCCCTAGAAACAGGGCCAGTTTTCTAAGAAAGGAAACTGTATACATAATTCAGCATATATATTTAAAAGTGCTCACATGTGGTGGATTTTTCATTGCAAAGATATATGACATTTGATGGATATTGCCTCTGTGTCCAGCAAGATCATGGAGCAGATCCTCCTGGAAACTATGCTAAGGCACGTGGAAAAAAAAAAAAAAAAGAATTGGCTGGTGACAGCCAACATGGCTTCACTAATGGCAAATCGTGCCTGACAAATTTGGTAGCCTTCTACAATGGGGCTACAGGGTTGGTGGATAAGGGAGGAGCGATTGACATCATCTATGTGGACTTGTGCAAAGCATTTGACACTGTTCCACATGACATACTTGTCTATAAATTGGAGAGACATGGATTTGATGGATGTACCCCTCGGTGGATAAGGAATTGGCTGGATGGTCACACTTAAAGAGTTGTGGTCAACGGCTCGATGTCCAGGTGGGGAGCAGTGATGAGCGGTGTTCCTCAGTGGTCGGTGTTGGAACTGGCACTGCTTAACATCTTTGTTGGCGACATGGACAGTGGGATCAAGTGCACCCTCAGCAAGTTTGCTGATGACACCAAGCTGTGTGGTGCGGCCAATACGCTGGAGGGAAGAGTTGTGCCACCCAAAGGGACCTGGACAGGCTGGAGAGGTGGGCCCGTGCAAACCTCATGAAGATCAACAGGGCCAAGTGCAAGGTCCTGCCCATGGGTTAGGGAAATGCGCTCTCATGAGACCCCACATGGAGTGCTGTGTTCAGCTCTGGGGTCTTCAGCATAAGAAGAACATGGAACCTTGAGCAGGTCCAGAGGAGGTCATGAAGATAATCAGGGGGCTGGAGCACCTCCCCTGTGAGGACAGGCTGACAAAGTTGTGGTTGTTCAGCCTGGAGAAGAGAAGGCTCTAGGAAGACCTTAGAGCGGCCTTCCAGTACCTAAAGGGGGATGTAGGAAAGACTCTTTATCAGGGAGTGTAGTCATAGGATAAGGGGCAATGGCTTTAAACTGACAGAGGGTAGCATTTGAATAGCTATCAGGAAGAAATCCTTCCCTGTGAGGGTGGTGAGGCCCTGGCACAGGTTGCCCAGAGCAGCTGTGGCTGCCCCCTCCCTGGCAGGGTTCAAGGCCAGGTTGGACGGGGCTTTGGGCAACCTGGGCTGGTGGAAGGTGTCCCTGCCATGGCAGGGGGGTTGGGACTAGGTGGTCTTTAAGATCCCTTCCAACCCCAAAACATTCTATGAAATACAACAATTCCATCAACTTGAGGGTTATCAGCGAAGTTAGGACCAAGATGCATTCTTAACCAGACTGAGCCTCGTCAAAGACAGAATAAAGTAAGGGACCATGGCCTATGAAGCAGTGGGAGACTACATGTCATGGCAGGAGAGGATCCACTCTCTAAAGCGACTGGAGACAAGTAACAGCTGTAATATTAAAAATAAATAATTTATATGTACTGTCTAATTAACATTGACTTTGTAATTACCATAGGAAGAAGATGATTAGTCCCATCTCATTCTTTAAAAAGCAAAAGAAATGGCTGCTCAGAAGAGTATACAGCTGATACTGCAGAGAAATACTTTTCAGGTGTGTTTTCTGAAAGACATAACCAAGACAATAGTTTGTCACAATCTGATTTCACAACATTTTACTTTACTACTGACTTAACCGATTTGACAAGACAGCCAATCAAGACAAGACTCCTTGTTGTGTGTAGATTAAAAGAACAACTCATTTGTAGCTTGCAGAAATATATAATCACTTTACAAAACACTTTGTAGAAAATCAGATGCTGAAGACACACTACAAAAATCTGAACTCATTCTGAGCTCCCTATTTATTTATCTGTTCATACTGCAATTTAATGCAGGGACAATATTAAAGGACTTTTGTTTTGTTTTCCATCCTGGAGATCCTTCCCCTGTCTATCTTTTGCCACCCAAATTCTATGAATTACATACAACTATAACATTACCTATAATATTGTGGTTGCATATATAAAACTCTGCACTGAATACATCAAATGCTACAGTTATAGGTATAGATATTAAATATAATATTTAATTATAGTATGTATTTATACTTCTTTACATCATGTATACACATCCAATACTGGGAAGTGATGCATTTAAGAATTTTGTCGGTCGAGTCTGGCAAGGGCAAATAAGAAGGAGGTGTGAGTTGTGCATTGACCATCAGCAAACGTTTCACCCTGCACAGTCTGGGAACTTTTGTTCCAAAATCACAGGCCCTTTGATTTAAACTGGTACAGTTCCTTTACAGAGCTAGGTCAATTATCTGCAACTGCACTTTTGATCCAAGGGTTTATTTCTTATCATATGTGCAACTCTTCTATATTAACTGACTCAAATGATGTTTCTTTAGCAGTGGTTTATTTACATACTAACTTGCAAGTGAATGTTTAAAAATGGACCAGACAACATAATAATGCATGAATTAGCCCGGTGCAGTGGTGAAAGTGTCAAAATGGAAGGTCAATCCACACATTGTCAGGTTTGCAGCTAACTTGCTGAAAGCCACTTTATAAAAGCAACTACTGGCAAAGCCAGGAGAATAATACTTACATGTGTCACAGGGGACTTTTGAAGAGTATTTGTATTTGAGTTTGTAACAAATATATGTTACTCTCTTAAACAGAAAATCTTTTAAATACTTTGCAATTATTTTGTTTCCGAAACCCACAGGTGTAGCTGAAATAGCATAATAACCTCAACACAACATAAATTTCCACACTCAATAATGGAAAGCAGTGCCAGACCCTTTTCACACCTCTGTGTGTCTAAAGCCTGTTAAATAAGAAGCAAGTAAATGAATGATAAATAGATAATCTAAATTACAGTAAGGCTAGAGCGAGTAATATCTCATCCATCTTCTGAACTATTTCAATATGAAACATTCAGTGTTATTGTTACCCAATGGATGTCTAAAAACAAGGATCAACCTGTTACTGTTTCCACAACAAAATGAAATTGAAAATATGTGAGTATTAAAACCAAATTATTAAGTATATATAAATATATTTTTTCCAAACATACAAGAATGTAATGGAAAAGAAATCTTAACTGCTTGGCTATGGTCAAAAGAGCTAAATCATTTTGTTATAGTATGATAGAAAGGTTGTAACCTTTTCACAGTTAACATTGTTAGATCTGAAATTTGTCATGGCGTTGGTTTGGGGAGGGTTTAAAATCTGCGTACTAACTGTCTTCATTTGATTTGCCAGTCCTTAAAAAATATCATATTTTATTTGTTGGCTTTTTAAAAAATTGAAGTTCAAAAGTAGCCTTACAAGGAAACTCAAAGCACATTTAAAAGAAATTTAAACTCTGATTTGTTGGATACATCTTCAGAAAATATGTTTTAATCCCATGTCTAAATTTTTTAAACCCTGTTTTAACAAAATCATTTAAAATGTATTAGAAATATTTTACAATAGTTAAACATTTTGGTCATTTTACAAGCCAGTTTTTATCAAACCAGATGAGGTGGCTAAAAATGAAAATATGTAAGGCTTATGTTGGGCCCATAAGCACTTACCAGCTTTGTGTTTCTTAATTAGTATTATGGGGCCTTAAAAAGCTGATTTGAGAGGGATTTCCAGTCCAAATGCATTGTCAAATTTATGCTGCAGAACAAAGTCTTCAAGATGAGGAATATAATACATTATAGTAGCTAATGAATAATGGGCCAGGGCTACCATTAGTTTGTCATTTGTTTCCTTTTATTAAATTGTTCACTCTGATGACAACGGAACACTGTGTACTTAATGATTAATGTAGTTATCTATATATTTGGTTTTCTTAAATACGGTAGGTAACTCTTTTATTGCAAAGAAATAATCATTGCTATTTTAAAATAAAAGCTTAGGTTTTAGAATTAATAGAGAACTCATACTGATTGTAAAATGTATAAGAAATATTCTACGTGCATACTCTAAAGGGTATTCCATTCAGTTACAGAGAAAGAGGTTCTTAACGTCCAGTAGATCACCTAAGACATTCCTTTCAACAATTCAGAGCCATTTTCTACTTGAATTTCTTAATTATTTCATCCAAACTGCTACTCAACAACATAAGGAATATTAGCTCACTTACATGCTTTGACAAATTATTCTCCTGCATCGAGCACACATTGTTGCAATGTAAAATTTTTCTTCGGCTTTTGTCAGTTTTTCACTTCTTACTCTGTTTAATCGTTAACCAATGCCTTTCTGTCTTCATTATGTCTCTGATACTTACCCTTGTTTTATGGAAGCTTGAACTTTGGACAAGGGAGGAGGTCATAGTTAAATGCATACATAATTTTAACTGTAGCTTGTGTCCTGATAACCTGCAACTCGAGGTTAAGGATTAAAGCCTTTGTAAATGTATATGTGTTATTTCAAAATGCAATTGAGAGTTATGATATACACAGTTATCTGTTTGGAAAAGGAATGCTGGGGTTTTTTTATAATGAAGTTAAAATGAAGCGCTTTAAGAGCAGTTACCACTGAGTAAAATCTAAGCCACGGGGGTACAGTTTTCTCTATAAAGAAGCAAATGACAAAACTTTTCTTTAACAAGGCAGGAATAGTTACTGATTTTGTTGTTTTGACTGTCACAAAATATATAATCTAAGTTAGTCAAAAGAAAATATTCATAACTCTTTACAATATTTAAGTTACATATGAAGAAAAGTACAAAAAGCTAAAATTACATGTCTTTGCCTTTATAACATACATCTAGATGTCTTTATTAAGGCTTGCTTCTAAATCTCTCAGTGAACCCTTGAGATGTCATATTCATAATTAAGAAAGTTTAGTTCCTGTGCAAGTTGATGTTATCTACAAAGGTCCATTACTTTTTATTGCTTGTTTTGAATGGTATTTTTATTCTTAGTTGGAGCATTTAGATCTTGAACACACAAGTCCTTGACCACCTCTTGTCTATGTGTGTATATGCTTTCAATATTGTTCTTCAGTCTAAAACAGCTCTTTCCTTCATTGGGATCCCTCTTTGATAAATAGAGGGGATAAATAAATAATAAATAAATAAACAGAGTTCTTTTGTCAGACTCCATTTTGCTACATTATTGTACTAGGTCTGGTCGGGATGAAGTCAGTTTTCTTCAGAATAGCTGGTATGGTGCTCCATTTTAGATTTGTGACCAAAATAGTGTCAATAACTCACCACTGTTTTAGTTATTGCTGAACAGTGGTTGCAAGGCCTTCTCTTTTGCTCATTCTGCTCTCCCCTACCACCACCAGCGACTGGGCTGGGGGAGCACAAGAGGAGAGGCAACATGGCCAGGACAGCTGACCCAAACTGAGCAAATACCACATACCTTCACATTCACCATTAAAAGTCAGGGGAGGGGAGCAGTTTTTCAAAGGTAACTATTGCTTTGAGACTGATGGGGCATCAGTCTGCTTGTGGGAGGTGATGAATAATTACTTTTGATTTACTGTTTGTTTTTTCCCTTTTTTTCCTTTACTTATTAAACTGTCCTTATCACAATCCCTGAGTTTTTTTCTCATTTTTACCCTTCCAGTTCTCTCTCCTGTCTGGATGGTCAGAGAGTGAGCAAACTACTGGGTGGCAGCTTGGTTGCCAGCTGGGGTCATCCTGCCACAACTACAGTGAAATCTCTTGAAGACGCTTGCGTCCATTTCTATGATCTTCCTAGCAATCCTCACCTGCTTCATTGTTCTTGAAAACAAGTGACCAGAAATACACATCTCATGCAGGATTTAAGAAACTTGCTAATATTTTCACCTTTCATGAGAAACAGGGAATTGGCTAGTGCCAGTGTTTTCTTCATGACTGTATCACACTGGTGGCTCATACTTCAATATGTTCCCCTGACAAGTTTAAATTCTTTCGGAATCCTGGAATCTGCTGTTATTAACAAAAAAAACCCTTCAGTGCCCCCCAAAAACCCCCAAAATCTGAAGTCTGACCTGCTTAATTTTTAGTTACTCTCAATTTTCCCCTAACTTCTTGATCTCTAGCACACAGCTTTTTTCTTGATCAGTCCTTTCTTCCTTAGCCTCTGAGGTTGGTGGATAGTCTCAGTGATGCTGACAGGTGTCACAAGTCCTTCCATTCCTTACTCCTATAAGCGAACCGTCCTCCTCAGACTGTTCTCTCTTGTAACAACCTATATTCCATTTTTGTTCATCCTTGGTTTCTTGGTTTTCCTCTCTTTTCTGTGTGTATGATCTGTTGCTCTTATTTGTTGCCACACAATGTTTTGTTTCTGCCCATTTCTCATCTTCGTTCTCTAGTGCAATAGACCTATTCTTGCACACCATTTATCCTATTTTAGTTGGTCTACACTTGTGCCTTGTTCTACAGGTATATGTCCTCAACACTTTCTCTTCGACTTCTTGTGCAACAAAGGGATTGTTGTGGTTTGAGCTTGGCTGGCAGCTGGCAACCCATGCAGCCAGTTGCTCACTTTTCCCCCCACCCAGAAAAATAGGGGAGAGGTTGAAAACCCTTTTGTCTCTCCAAACATAGGTTGAAATAATAAAAAAAAAAAAAAAAAAAAAAAAAAAAAAAAAAAAAAAAAAAAAGGTTTAGTGATGTTAACAAAACAATAATAATAGGAAATCCAAATGGGTAATGCACAATGCAATTGCTCAACACCCACCAACGGACATGAAGCCTGCCTCCGGCAGCAATCCTGCCAAAACAAAGACCCTGCCATGCCAACCAGAAGCAAGAGAAAAATACAGTATCAATCGTGGTGTACCACTTGGCTATTTTTGACTCTAGTTCATATTGAAATTCTAACATGTCTGGCACGGCAGCACTCAGCAGTGGTGTGACTTCATTCGGGCCATGATAGTCTACTGTTAATCTCCACTCTGTTGGATTTTTGCACTGGTCATGTGGGGTTGTTAAAGAGGGAATGAGTCTTGCTGATGACTCTTTGGCTCTCTAGTTGATGAATCAGTTAGTGGATAGGGATTACAGCGTCTCAATCAGTGTGATATTGCTGTCGGTGCACTGTTGTAGTGGCAATTGGCACCCATTGTTCTTCAACCCTCAGCAATCCCACAACAGAAGGATCGAGAGAGTGGGCAATGCAGACAGCTGTTTAATTTCCTCTGTCTCCAAGGCAGCTATACCAAAAGCCCCCTGATACCCTTTTGGGTCCTTAAAATACCCTCTCCTGAGGTAATATATACCAAGAATGCATGGAGCTTCTGGGCCAGTCACAATGGGGTGCTTTTCCCACTCATTTCCAGTTAGGCTCACCTCAACCTCCAACACAGACAGTTGTTGGGACCCCCTGTCACTCCTAAAATACAAATTGGTTCTACCCCTTTATAATTTGATGATATTTGGGTGCCTTGAGCACCAGTGTCCACTAGACCTTATACTGCTGAGGGTCAGACGTGCCAGGCCATCGAATCCACACAGTCCAGTAAACTCGATTATCCCTGTCCTCCACCTGGCTGGAGGCAGGGACCCTCTAATGTTGGTCATAATATTCGCTGTTGATGAATGTGTTAGTATGGTGTGCTCGGGTTTCAGTCTCATCTTGGTCACTCACTTCTTGTGAATACAAATCAGAAGTTCTTCTCATAGGACTGTGAGCAAAGTCGACCTTTCTGCTCTGTTTGGGCATCTGATTACTGGAAACTGGAGTTGCATTTCTCCTGAAAGAACCCCGTTTTGTAGGTGGTCTTCCTTCCAACTCACATACCCACTCTCCCAGGAGGTAGGTAAGCTTTCAAACCCATTTCCTCACATCTTCTCCATGGTCATGCAGGCAATACCACAGCTTCCCCAATGATCTATGCCATTTCTCTCAAGTAGAGAAACACTTGCTCCTAATAGCTGGGATCCTTGTCTATGCAGGTGGGGAGTAGGACATATCATCTTTAAATTTCTGGAATTCTTGAAATAGTTTCTCCATAGCCACAACAAGCGAGGAAGAGAGACTTTCTTCATATTGTCATAGTTGGTGAGCCAATTCATCTACTGTCAGTCCCTCTTTGTCTCTCCAGTTAATACATTGGCATACGGTGATGGTGTTCTTTTTACAAACTTCTGCCAAATGGTCCAGGTGCATTTGGACTTCATCTGGATCTGTGGGTGGCTGCTCATTACCTGGGTCATAGTAAACCATCTCCCACATGGCTAGTTCCCTCAAGTATTGGATACCTCTCTCCATAGTGGTCCACTTACTTGGATGACACATAACATCTTCCTTGAAGGGCTAGCCCTCCCTCACGCTTGACAGGAGTCACCTGCAGAGACTGAGATTTTGTGTCCTTTTTCCAATTGCATTGTCAATGCCCTCTTCCCTAGACACGGGTCTCAGCTGCCTGGCCTCCCTGCCCTCTAATTCCACACTACTGACCCTGCTATCCCAGCATTGGAGCAGCCAGATAATAAGGTGCTCATCTGGATGGCAGCTGAAATCCTTTTGTATGTCTCAACTCACTCAGGGATCAGGATCAGGTGACTGCCACTGGCTCTGCCTCCTCCTCTTGTTCTTGTGATGGCCCTGTTCATCATCACCGTTTACACTGAGAGGGGATTTGTATATTTCTTCTCATGTATGGGAGCAACTGATTGTCACAGGTTGGTCCTCAGGTTCAGCTGCAGCATCTGTTGTCAGGGTCAGATTAGCTGCAATACCTGTTGCCAGAGTTGGAGTGGCTGCAGCGCTTGTTGTGGGCTTTGGAGTGGCTGCAGTGTCTGTCATTTTGCTACCAGATCCAGAGCCATTCTCTTCCCTTTGAGGGTACCGAGTAGTGTTTAAGTGCCAGGCTCCATCATGTTGCAGTGAGCTGTGCCTCTGGAACTACACAGGTGACAACATACTTCTTCCAAATATTTTACTAGCTCTTCAGGATTCTGCACCTGTTCGGGAATGAAGTTTCAATGCACTGGAGGTGCCCACTGTTCTAGGTACTTGCCCATGCTATCTCACACCCCCAGCCACCCGTAATTCTCCATCCTTAGAGTAGATCTTTGGGTGATACTCTTAAATAGTTGCTTAACCCAAACAAAGCCTGAAACATATGCAGGAACACACTGGCTCCCAGCAGTAAGACGATCATGTTAATGTGAGCATTCCAAGGATATGCAAAATTCCCCAAATTCTCAAACATAATTATAAATAGCCCCAGGACCAACAACTTCATCGCCATGAATCAACATTACATAGTGCTGCAAAAACAAAATCTTAATGTAACTCTCATGGATGGTAAGCAGCAGCATGTGGACTGCATACAGCAAATGAGGTGATAAAATCTTAAGCAGCCAAGGAATCAGCATTATGATGCGATCTGTCATTATCTCAACCCTTGAGCCCCACGTTGTCATGGTTTGAACTTTGCCAGCAGCCAATCACTACACAGCTGGTTGCTCACCTTTTCCCCTGCCGGGAAAAATAGAGAAGGGATAAAAAAGGAAGAACTCGTAGGTTGAAATAAAAAAAAAAAAAAAAAAAAAAAAAACCCTGTTTAGCAATGGTAACAAAATTAATAATAATAATAATAATAATAATAATAATAATAATAATAATAATAATAATAATAATAATATAGGAAGTACAAGCGGTTAATACACAACACACTTGCTCAGCACATGCAGCTCACCACCGGCAGTGATCCTGCCACACCAATTGGAAGTGAGAGAGAACCTGCTTCCTTTATATACTGAGCATAACATCACATGATATGGAACACTTCAATAACCAGTCCGGGCCTGGCACTCCATCTGTGCTCCCTCCCAACTCAAGGAAAGTTAACTCTATCCTGTCTGAAATTTGGGTCGAGTGCTCTGGCTATGCCCTCTCTCAGCTCAAGAAAATTAACTCTATCCCAGCCAAAACCAAGACAGTACTGTCTTCTTTGTTACTGCTGCAAATTTCCCTCTAAAATTGTACCATCACCTCTAGCTCTCTCTAGCCCTCAGATGTTTAATTGAGCAACATCTCAGGCATAAAGAATGTCTTTTTTCAGATCCATATTCAAGTACTGTCTACACTGCAGAGAGCTGAGCTCTACACCCATTCATTTGCATTGTTCCCACAATTCTTCTCCTTTGCCACAATAATCATTGCCTCCTTTGGAGAACTCTGCCTCCTCCCCCAGTAGAATCTCTTCCCATGGCTCTTGTTTTGTTGCTCTCCATTTGTTGGCTCCACTAATTAATTGTTCTGTCCTCTTAGGCTAGGGCAATCCCTTTCAAGGGGACAAAGTGCCAAGTAGCTGCATAATTAGAGTGCTGCATCTATTCAAGGTTGCATATTGTGCATAATACTTGAGTTCCCTCTCTATGCTCAGACGCATAGAGAGTATTTTTTATGTCAGAATCTATAAGATTTGGAAGAAAATCAGATGGTTTTCCCATTTGCATCCTTGTCTTGTAAAAAATAAGCTTTTAAAAAAAAAAAAAATCAGGAGAGAAGCTATGAAGAGTAAAGATTTCATAAACTAATGGAAGTGGCTAAAAGAGGAATGGAGTCCATAAGGAAAGCAATGCTTTGGAACTAGATAGATGTTTCAGTATTGAGCCCTTAAATAAGTAATTTTCAAAACAAATTTTCATGGATCATGAATAAGTTTTAGAGAAAAGATGTGTTCATTGTGCCTACTGTGGAGTAAATGTTGGAACACTGAAGGATCTCTCTGTTCTTTCATTCCTAAGTTTCTCTAGACAGCTTAAAGGAAACAACCAAAGAGAAACAAACAAACAAACCCCCCAAATATTAATTAGTGCCAGAATGTATTTATTCTGATGGGATAGAATTCAGAGATAAAAACAGCAAACCATATTAATGTGCTCTGAGACAATAAGAAACTCTGTAGCAGGTGCTAACTATAGGTACAGCCCTCTAAACACACCTTGAGAGTAATTTAATTTGTGTGTTATCAATATCAACTTAGTAATATTTTACTATGACAGGATCTGGTACCAGGGCCTTTAATCCTTTCCCAGTTTCTACAGACTAGTCCCACTTATTGAAGAAACATACTTTACCGCTCTGGTAAGTTCTGTTCTGAAGACCATTTGATGCAGCAACTCTTAAAAAGTTGCTTCTTTGCTGTCATGGTGCCTACATCCATTATGATTCCACAGCCATTTTGGTTCCTCTTCTCCCTTCCTACCCATCTTTGCATAGAAGCCCAGGAAATCAGCCCTCAAGCTCCACCAGGTGTTACCAGCAGCTCTCCTCCTCAAGGTTTGAAGGCAAAGAGCAATCTTTCCACATTTCTGTCTAGCTCGTACTTACTGATCCAGAAAGTCAGTGGAATTACTGAATCACATGCTTGAACGCTTGGCTGGATAAGAGCCAACACTTGCCTTAGATTAGCATGTCTTCAAGCCTTTCACAAAGCTAAAAGTGCTTTCTTAGAAGTTTTGTATACAGCTAGAGTTAGGCAGGCTACAGCATTTTTGAAACTCTCATTTTAAAGTTTGTCATTCTTTAAATATTATTCCTATTTGATTACTTCCCCTTCCCCCCAAGAACTATAGCTTTCCTTGGTTTTATTGTGTCGTGGCACCCCTCCTGTGGAGTACCATTCTACCTAGCTCATTCTGCCTGTATATGAGTAGCGTTGACCTTCAAAAGAGTATTGTCAGTAATCAGCGTGACAGAAAACTCTTTCAGTCTAATCACTTATGCATTTATGTGTTCTTCGTTTGCTTAAATATTTGTTGATTTGCTTTTGACAGTCATCCAGTAGGACTTCCTTCTCCTATATGCTCTTGCTAATTGGCATTTATGCCAGAAAGTAAAGTTTGCAACGCCTGTTTGAAAATTTTGCCAAAAGGTCACGGAATCATTGCTATTCCACTCAATACCTTAAACATCAGAATTTGAAATGTAAGAAGTTAAATATTTCCTCTGACCTTTTTTTTTTTTCAAAATATGCTTGAGGCCCGGGGCTCATACCATTGCCTTATGAAGACGTGTCTTATACTTGGCTACAGGCCTGAGAGGAATTTTGTTCTTGGTGCAAAGAATGATTTTGTACCTTTCAAAAAAACCTTACAGTCACAGTAGCAATGAAACCCAGCAGAAGTGCTGTAGTATTTAGGGATAAATACTACTAATTCAATATAAGTATGAATATTATAAATTAAGTATGAATATTATAAATTTCTTTTCAGTCTGTCTGCCTTCTCTGATTTGTCAGTCACAGTCTCAGAACAGTGAATGCTCCATGACCACAGGCCTCTTCCATTAACAGCTCTGCTATAATAGGGATGCCAGGTCCCTGTTTTACATGATTGAGAGACTGGGACATCAAACATTGCTTACTCCATAGGTTAGACTTACCCCTTGTCTGTCAGTTTAGGATCCGTCTTAGGCATTTTTTGCCAGCTGGCAAGATCCAGCCAGAAAAGACAGGGAATATATGTTTTTTTTTTCTTTTAACATCCTTCCATGTAATGTCAGTCTTTTCAAGGTATCAATCACTTACTAAATTATGAAAGATCAACTGAATGTTGTCCTGATACAAGCATATATGACATTAACGCTAGGTTTGCTTGACAAATACTGATCAATAAATAGAGAAGTCCCAAGTTTTGGTAGTGGCAAAATTAATGAGTTAAAGGCATAGTCAGTAAAGGGGAAGTACACAGTAAAAAAAAACTCAGTAGGGCACAGATGGTGAGATTTGACTCTATCCCTAAATAACCCCCTTTTGGATGCAATATGCAATAATTAGTAAAAAGGCCTTTCAGAGTGTACTCTCCCAGATTAGTAAGCAGTTGAATCACAGGAGATTCGAAATGTAAAGGACAAATTAAACATAAAAAAAAAAGAACCAGAACTAGTCAGTGCTGAAATTTGTTTAGCAATTGTCCTGACCTATATATGCTGTTAGGCACTCCCTGTAAATATTATTTGTGCTATTTTTATGCCATGGTGACGAATATCCAACAGGAAACAAAAATACAATTAGGGATAAAATTTTGTACGTTTAGGGGTAGGCTATTAAGATAGAAAACAAGGGCCAAACACAGAAACTTAAACAATTAAAAAAAAAAAAAAAGAAGAATGTTATACTGATACATAAAAGTTGGAAATCCTGAGACCTTGCTGGACATATAATATCTGAGTCTTACCAAAATACTCAGTTCAGAGACGGTGATATCATGTGATAACAGAGGTCTGTAACACACTTGTGATAGATAGAAGACAAAAAATAGCGAATGCACTTCTCAAAATGGTAAGGTAAGGCAGTATTTTCAGAGCTTTTTGAGAAAAAGAAAATTATAATCTATGACCCTCTCTTACAGCAGTATTTTTACTGGAATTTACTGGATCCTGAAGCAAACAGACAGAATGTATTTTGAAATACTCTACTTTTTCTTGGGCATTTATTCTTCTTTAAAGTGCAGAATGAAGTCTGATGTGTGTCAATTGCCATAGCTTTACTGAAACCAATGAAGTTATTTCCATTTCCAAAGCTGTTGAGAATTTGACCAAAATGTTAACCTGGGAAAAACAGATTTATTGAACAGCTGAGCAAAGCAGCTCACAAAGTTCCAAAAGAAATATTGTAAACAGATCAATAGGCAGAAAAAAAATCAATATCGGGATTCAAGAAAAGAACAAAGTATCCCTAATATAGATCTGTGCATAGGAAAGGCAAACGAATTTGGAAAGGAAATTATTTCTGCTTTATATTACTCTAAATCCATAAATAATATTGCAGTAAGACTTATGGCAACTGAACAATCATCCTTAGTTTCTTGCCTTAGGATACAGGAAAACATTATTGGAAAAGCTCTAGTGTGTGCTACAGAAGCCTCCCCCTTTCATGTAAATATCTTATGTATTTTTGTGGAATGTAACCAATTATGGGATTGCACACTGAAGCACTTTTTCTATATGTATGCAGGTGGTGAGTGCAAAACAGCAGTTAACATTATTTGAGGTTTCTTCAATTTGTGTGGGTTTTCCTTCATTTCTTGGCAGCCAAACCCAGAACGCGTAGAGGAATGGAAGAGGTTGTGTGCTGAAGCAATACTAAATTATATTAAGGTTCTTTCTGTATTGTAGCTCTTAAAAAAAAAAAAAGAATAAATGGTAGTCATAGCTTTTAACAGTGCTCAGCCAGAAAACTTCAAATTTTCTCTCAGACAGGGTAGTATGAGTCTGCTAGCTAGTACATTCATTTAGACAAAAGTGTTTTTAAAAAGACTGAAAAAAGTGCTTCACAGGGATGTTAAAAGCAGTTGTACATAAAATAATTGTCAATACTGCAAAGCACAAACAAATCCCTGGGTGCCTTTGTATTATAAAGTTCTGTGGAACAATATTGAAAAGGAGTAAACTCTTGAATAAAATTACAGGTCTTCACTCTGGGATTTCTTACTTCATTGATTGAACCTACAAGATGTTAAGCCCAAAGCAACTCACTTTGTTGACAGTAATCACATGATAATATTTCCGATATGTTCATACAAGATACAAGATAAACTGTAAGAGATGAAATACACATTGTAAGTTTAACCCATGGCCTCATTGCGAGAAGTCAATCAATTCTAAGGAGTTAATATATATGTATATATCTTTACACAATTATGATTAGTCTTGCAAAGTAAAAGAAACATTTTGGGTGATACTGTAGTCTGCTAGAAAAATTAATACTTCTTACAAATTGGAAAGTGCACATCTTCACATCAACATCAATCAATTTAAAAAAATAGTTTCATTTTCAAAATGGACTGCTTTGAGCAGCTCCCACTGAAATAAATGCCAGATTCAGCTCTAGGTAGCCAGTTTAGTAAATGTGCCACATCCACCCTGTGGGAAGGCATAAGAAGTGGATAAGCTAAAGATAATATTTCCTTATAGTCTTTTTTCAAGCAAGTTTTTTCATCACTTTTGAATGATAGAGCTAGAAATTAGGTCTGTGTCATTCTTAGGCAAGGGCTGATACAGTGTTTGATCTGCCTCACAATCTCTTTTAAAAAAATAAAAATGAAAAAAAAAAAAAACAAACCCAAAAACATATTAATAACTGTGTGCCATACTGCTTGCCTGAAAATTACTCGTTTTTTCTGAAGGCAACAGACCCCTGCTGTCTTATATAGACTTTTCTTTACTCTCCCACTGGGACTGCTTACTGCTTGCTTGCCACCAAAGGAAGATACCTGTTTGTCCTGAACGGAAGCACAGCATTGCAGACTCATTTACTTTGTTGTCTTCCTAAGAACAACTAACAAAGGTTGGGTTTGGCAGATATTCATCCAATTGCCATGTAAGGTTGGTAAAGCTAGAATCAGGTTTAGAAGTTGCTAAAAATATGGCCCCTCACATACAGCCTGGCACTTTCTGGTCTTAAAGCCAAAATAGGCATCGTGCATACTGCACATGGAGATACATTGGCAGAAAGCAACTGAAATGAAAGCAGTTAGGAAAATTCACTGAATTATCACAGATGAGTCCCAAGATGCCACCTGGTTTCTGAAACTTCCCTGACTGAATGTTTGAAGACCTTAAGACTCAGCTTTATACTGAAGTCTTATGATTGCGTTCTCTATGACTTATGATAGTAATAATAAATCTCTGGGAATTTCAGTGTGGGACCTCAAGAGGCCAAGCAAAGGGCTGACTCTGTCCACATAAACATTCCTCTTTGATTTTTTTTTTTTTTTTTTTTAAACTTAACTGATAGTATTGGGTGCCTATTTCCACATGTGAACAAAATCAGAACAAAATGAGGTTGTGTTATACCTGTAACATGTCAGAATGAGCACACCGGCACACCGTTGCCACTTCCAAAGATTAGAGCAACTTCCAAACCAAAACTGGAGTTGTCATCAAGGCAAACATTTATTCTAAGGATCAAGATAGCACACTAGGCTTTCACCAGTGTTCCTAGTACCCTCTGCATAAGACGTTCAAACTGGATAATCAGCATAGCAGAGTGTGACTGAAATGTGTATGCTGAAGAATTTTACCCTTTCCTTCCCTAAAATCAGGAACTTTTCTAACTGAGCTCACTAATTTTTACTCTAACTCTCTTCTTCAGAAGTTGAACTACTGAACTAGACTCCTCTCCTGAGAACACACACCTAGAAGTTTTCAACACTTCTGCAAGAACAGGTCCAGCACCATTTCAGTCCCAGAAAACAAAACTTCCTTCTTAATTTTTTTCAGAATTTT